CGTACGATATGGATACTTTTAGCCCTAGGGCCTTTTCGGAAGCCCTTTCCAACTTTGGACTCACCGGCAATCCTCAAAGCAGGAAGCCGTGGCCCAACCACGACATCACGATGCACTGTTCTGGTGGAACGAGGCAATCGCACAGCTACGAGGGGCATGCATTCGAGCCAGACGAACTTCCCAGAGACTACGAGACACAATCATTCCCCCACCATTATTCAGAGTATCGTGACTGCAGAAGAGCCACCGGACGAGCTCCCCTCATACAGGTCAATCTGCCTGCTGAGCACGGTAGGTAAAGTAATGGAGAAATTAGTCTCCATGAGGCTAGAGACTGCAGTGAACGAGACCGGCGGACTGTCCCCTAATCAGTACGGGTTCCGGAAGGCAAAGTCCCCACTGGATGCCATTAGTAAAGTGGTCAACATAGCATCAAATGCGATCGCGGGGACGCGCTGAAAGGGCGGAACCAAGGAATTCTGCCAGGTCGTCACACTGGACGTGAAGAACGCCTTCAACACTGCCAACTGGGGCTCCATCCTCAATGCTCTAGCAGCGCGCGGTATCCTCGCGTTTCTGAACCGCTGCATTCGCAGCTACTTTAGCAACAGGGTGCTGCTGTACGAAACTGCATCGGGCACGAGAACTCACATGATTTCTGCAGGAGTACCCCAAGGTTCAGTTCGTGGGCCATTTTTGTGGAATATCATGTACGACGGCGTTCTACGACTGGATCTACCAGCTGGTACGGAGGCAATCGGCTGGGAGTAATGATAGATACCAGGTTGTGCTTTCGGGAGCATCTTGCGCATGCCAGCAAGAAGGCCGCCACAGCGGCGAGAGCATTAGCGCGCATTATGATGAACCCGCGCAGACTGAGGCAAAGAAGCAGATTACTGCTCTGTGGAGTCACACGGGCGATCTTGTTGTATAGAGCCCCCGTCTGGCATGAGTCCACGAGGACCAAGTGCTACGTTAAACCTCTGCTAGCAGCATATTGCCTAGGCGCCTTGCGTGTTTGCTGCGCATTTAGGACCGTCTCCGATGACGCCGCTCTGGTTATTGCGGGTATGGTACCCATCGAAATCGCAAGTGAAGCGAGCGAGCTTCATAGATGCAGCGGCGGCCACGATAATCGAGCGTTTTTGCAATGCCAGCTGCGACTACGCGTCCACCGTCACGGGAGAGCTACGTAGATTGGAGCGACGGATGTAGACGGGTGAACGCCTGGGCGAAGCAATGCTCCACTTCCGTACCGCCCGGGTGCGAATTCGCTCATCTTTTTCTATTTGTACTTCCCATATTTCTTTAACTGTGTACACTTCCCTTTCTCTGTTCTTTGTAAATACATGAATTTAAAAAAAAAAAAAAAATAACGCACACACTCATAGGGCTGAGCTCAGGGTACTGTGGGGGTCACAGGTGGTGGTTAGTGGACGGCCTGTGTAAACAGGTTAGCTGCGAATAACCAATAAGCAGTGCTCGACCAAGAGCAGCAAGGATGGATAGTAAACCTTCATCCCCGAGTGGTTGTGGCAAGACGGGCCCACCGAAGGGAAGCACCAGTCAAGCACACAGGCAGTACAATTATATATGCGGCAACGAGGGTCCGAAGGCCCATCAGGAGCGATCCCAGTAAGATCCTGATTATGGCATACTGGGCAAACACGCAACATTTTATCAGACGAACATAGGTGGGTGAGGTATTCCGTTACCAATATGGGCTGCAGTGAAATCTGGTCCAGGCGGCTTTCAGGCCAATGCGTCACCTGTCTCCTTCCCGTTAAAACCTGGAAAGCCTTGGAGAACGCTTTTGAAATCTTGGAACACATGCACTCATAAGGTCTTGTGTCAAACCTCGCATGGCATCCCTGCTTTGCATAGATAATCATGGGACCCTATTTAGGGTAACTACACAACGAATTCAAGATAACGGCTCCGAGTTGGGACCTAACAGCAAAGATTATGGAAAGCAGAACAATAGCACAAACGGAAACACAAACAGGCTCTATCACTCAGGCCGGCGCAAGTAGCGCAAAGGAGGTACTAACGGAAAGCCCGGGACAAAACCTCGCTCCCCAATACATTCTTTGCAGGCGCAGAGTGTGGAAAGAGCACGGTCATCTCCGCCGGAACTGGCCAGCGTGTCTATACGAAGATATCATCTCACCAAATTGGGTGAAAAAATAGTGGAACTTAGTGAAATGATGGGTGGTGGTAGAAGGTCTATCCACCAACCAATGCGAGACCTGGTGGCAGTAATACCATCCCTGAAGTAACCACGGAGGACGAAATACTTATCGCATGGAGGAATCAAATGGTGACATACATAATTCGGCCTTCAAAACAATAAGAGACGCTCCTGGGGGGACTAGGATGGCCATAATTGTCATTCCGGAGAAACAGACAACAGACCCGATGAGGTAGGGAAACTACGAGTTGGTTGGACAGTCTGCCGACTAGACAAAGCGTGTCAAGGAGACCCACACTGTTTGCTTTGTAGGAAAGACAAAAATGCCCCCGCTAGACATGTCACAGGAGGGCCTAAATGCCGAAGGAGAGATCTGAACAAACAGAAATGAGAGTCCTACAATTGAATCTAAGCCACTGCGAGTTGGCCCAGGAGCTGCAATGATGGACCACTAACGAATGCAATAAGGCATCGATATGGACATGTGGCAAGTTCCCACTTGAGAAGGCCCACGGAATGCCGTTAGCGAAGGACGCCATCAGAGGAGTGCGGTGGCTTGAAGGAGAAAAATAATACTGCATCGTTATAACGCTGGATGTTAAAAATGCCTTTAACTCAACCGCCATCTTAACAGAAATTATTAGGGATTAACTTAAAGACAGAGTGCTCCTGTACAACACAGACGAAGGCAGGAAGCAATATGCGGTGACAGCTAGTGTACCACAGGGATCAGTGCTAGGTCCAATGCTATGGAATATTATGTATGACGGCATACTTAGGTTAGTTACCCAGCAGGGCAGAAATCGCTGGGTTCGCAAACGATATAGCATAGTCGTGACAGGAAAACACCTCGACACACAAGAAGACAAGACTGTGTAACGAGACTGTAGCAATAGTCAGGAGCTGGATTACAAGCATAAGACTTCAACTAACCGACCACAAGACGGAGGTATTACTTGTAACTAACCAAAAAAAAAAGAAGTTTTGACAGTAAAGGTAGGAAACGAACGGATCGCCTCCAAAGTATCAATCAAGTACCTTGAAGTAATGATTGACAACAGACTCAACTTTAAGGAGCACCTCAAATACGTTGGAGGACGGTGTGCTGGAGTGAGTAATGCCCCAACACGAATAATGCCCAAACTTGTTGGACCGCGTCAAGACAGAAGGCTGCTATTGATGAACGTTGTCAAATCAATAGCCCTGTACGCAACGCCCAAATTCCTACAAGAAGCGTATACTGCCAGCATACCGTAGGTGTGCCCTTAGTGTAGCATCATCGTTCCGTACAGTATCAACGGACGCATCCATAGTTATTTCAGAGCTAGAGCTGCTGGCAGAGGCAGAAAAGGAGATGTATCACCGGTACCGGGGGGCACATGGTTTGGAGGACACGGATAATGGTGGGGGTTTAGTAAGTAGGCGCGAGCAAGCCAAAGAGTAAGTCTTGTCTCACATGCGAACCGTGCCTATTGGTAGCACGGCCTACCAATATCTTTCGAAGATTACCCAGCCTTTAGCACGTATAGTTATAAGAACTGGCAGTATCGGCCACTGCAACAGCCCCAACAACTACAGCCCCTACAGATACAGCCGCGACAACTACACCAACTCAGTCCCAGCTACAACCACAGCCCCAGCTACAACCACAGCCCCAGCAACCATTACAAAAAAAAAAACAAGTAAAAAAGCTAAAGTGTGTAAAGGGTGTCCCGACTTTAAAATACTCTGTACATATGTTAACAAAAATGATAGAAAGTAAAAAAAATTAAGAAAATTAAAAAAACAAAAATGTGGATGTATTTTACCTCTCTTGGTATTCGAACTCACATAATTGCACATATACAAAGCAATTGCGTGTATGTGAGTGTATAAATGTCTATGCGCGTCTATTCGTGTCTGTGTAAGCATGGTTGCAGTCAACCAAAGCATCAGCATCAACAACAGCTGCGGGCAGTGCTTGGGCAGCAAATATATTTATGGCTATAACTTCTTGTTAAATCGGTCTATCATAGTGCATACGGACACATGATCACTAACTGGACGTATTTGCAAAATTTGAGTTCGAAATTCCAAGAATTACGGGAGTTACGATTTTCGGGTGAGAGGGGGAAGGGAGGGAAATTCCAATATACACATTTTCTGCGTATTCACATAAGGCATCTTGCAGTAAAATTTGGTGTTCCTAGGTTTTATAGTCTCCGAGATATAGACGATTATACAATTGGAAAATCGGGAAAATCCCCATAGGGGGGAAAATAAAAAAAAATAAAACAAACTCGTATAGTGTACACACATAAGGCACCTTTGTGCAAAATTTGGCGTCTCTATCTCTTATAGTCTCTGAGATCCAGGTGTTCATTCGGACGGACAGATGGACAGACAGGGCGAGGTCAACTCGTCACGCTGATCAAGAATATATATACTCTGTGGGGTCTGCAACGCCTCCTAATGCCTGATACATTTTTCAGCTCCCGCAAATCTAGTATACTCTTGTACATTTCATATACAGAGTATAAAAACTTTGGAGTCGGTTTTCACCCCTTTTGAGCTAGAATTCACCACTAGAATTCACCAATTCTATTTACGCTTCTGACCACACTTGGCAGTGAGTCGGGACATACTTAGCCGAAATATTATTTTAAATATAAATATAAATAAATAGAAATATAATTTAAATAATTAGATTTCTCATAGCTTATATTTTGTTTGTCGGAAGTCAATGTTTGTTGGTATATATATAAATATATAAATAAATAAATATAACCTAACACTTTTCAGTGATGGTTATAAATACTATGTAACTTACCTTGTCTTCTTGACTTGTATGTTATGATTAAGCTTCTCTAAAGTAATAGCGCCACTTTCCTTATCGAAAATAATTAAGCACTCTTTAGAATATTCCTTTTGGTTTCCTTTATAAACTGTGTGTGGAACACCCGAACTTTCTGCAATTAATAAACAGTGGCGTGGATTATTATTCAATTTCTCGAACTTAAAATTTTTATACCCTGTACGCAAAGGGTAAAAGGATATATATACTAGTTTTGTGCGAATATATGCAACACACAGAAGGCAGACCTTCCAAAGTATATATAATACATCCACGTACGTCCGTCCGTCTGTATGAGCGCAAGAATCTCAGCAATACCACCAGCTAGAATAACCAAACTTGCTATCCAGGTTCCCCTAAGCCATTACCTGAAACATCTCCCGACTACCCCGCTAATAGTGATTTTTCGTAGCTCCCGAAATTATTTTTTTACACAAATTCGACAATTATATGCAGTTAATCTGTCATCATGTTACGATGCTACTCTGCCGCGGGTATACTCGCCGGCCAGAGTGTGCTGAAATTTTATAATGGGCTCCCCAAAGTGCAAACAGTAAAAGGCGCGATTTGCAAAATATCTGTACGTTAATTAATAAACATTGCCTTTCATTACACGTCCACTCCTGAACGCATCCAGACTCCGACTAACCTAGAACTAAACTCAAGTACATACATATATAATAATTATTTCTTCTAATGAAAGGTTACAAAAATATATTCTGTATTCTTTCTCAGAGTAAATACATAAACCAAGTTTAAAGTTAATCGGATTTCTAATTCTCTAAAACCACTCCTTGGTGCTAACCTACACTTTGACAGCTTTTTGAGCCTGTCCCTCGCGGGATATTTAATTTTGATTTAAAAGTCGAGACGTCTGGCAACGCTGATATGTACATACATACAATTGTACAGTTTAACACTTATCCATATGTGTTTTTTGAATATGAATGTTGTGAGTGTAAAAGGCGTGATTCTGCTTTTGTAAATCGCAAGAATACATTCACGGAATTCGATTACCGTTTGAGCTGTGGGCTGTTGACGCGGTTTCCTTTTATGCCAAACTGTGTGATATTTGCGTCGAGTTTTGTTTCTATCTGTTTTTCACTGTCGTGTATTTTTATGCTTTATTGACTCAACAAACTTTGCCCATCCCTGTTTGTGTCTGTGAGTGTGTCACTGTGTGTGTTTATATGATGTCCCCAACTGTGTGATATTTGCGTTCTTTTTTATTTATGTATTGTTGCAACATTTATAAAGTGAATAACATATTTCTATACTTCAAAAATCGTTGATTGCCAATTTGTAGATATATTTGTTGATTAGAGATACCAAATTTGAAATCGATCGGATGACATTAATAACATAATTAATTAATTTTACTACCATATTTTTGGATACTATAACTACTTAATATTACACATGAAATTATTACATACTATTATTACCAAATGTATTGTTCATGAAATTCTTTATAGAAAATAAAATTAAGAAAATTAAAAAAAAAAATGTGGATCTATTTTACCTCTTCGGTATTCGAACTCACGTATATAAAGCAATTGCGTCTATGTGAGTGTACGAATGTCTATGCGCGTCTATTCGTGTCTCTTTGCGAAAAGAAATACCTTCCATTTTATTTAAATTAAAAATAGTTATGCTATTATTACGACAGATCTGGCATCGCTTTAAGATGTCATCGATCTTAGGTGCGGCAGCCAGAGCTTATGAAAACCCTGACTCACTTAGGCCGTGATTATTTGGTCCGTTGTTGTACCGCGTGGACGAGTCCGCTTCCCATATCCCGTGGTTGGCTGCAATCCTGCGCAATTTGTTACACCCATCCGGATGCCCGGATGAATTTAGAAATGTCTATCGGCTTTCTCTTTGCTAGCGTCGACAGATTTGGGAGGAGGCCATCTCCTAGAAAGCGTTGTCTGGTCCTACACAAGGCTGGGCAGTCGCAGAGGAGGTGGGAAACTGTTTCCTCCTCTTCTTCATCTCTGCAACTTCTACAGAAGTCGTTGTGTTGAAGTCCTAGCCTGGTGGCATGGGAGCCCACAAGCCAGTGCCCCGTGATGACTCTAATTACAGCTGAGCATTGGTTTCTGCTCAGCTTACAGAGTTCTAAAGTCCATTTGCTATCGCGGATGGGCCACGTTTGACGTGTGATTTTGTAGTGGTTTTTGTCATTGGTCCACATTTGATTTGCAATGAAATCGAAGTGGTTCCGAATGGACAGTTTACAGCTGGCCATCGGTATACCGATGCTCTCCTTGTCTGGAAGGAGGGGAACGGTGGTACCTTCTCTTGCCAGTTCGTCGGCTATGCAGTTTCCCTCATCGATAATAAGTAAAACCGATAATGAAAAGTAGGGACTGGAAGCGGCTAACGCTACCATAACCAAGAAACCACGTTGGCTTGTTCTTTTTATACCTTGTACCCGTAGGTTAAAAAGTGTATATTAGGTTTGTGCAAAGTATGTAACATGCAGAAGGAAGCATCTCCGACCATAAAGTATATATATTCTGAATCAGCATGACAAGAGAAATAGATCTAGACATGTCCGTCCGTTCGTCTGTCTGTCTGAATGAATGCAAGGATCTCAGAAACTATAAAAGCTAGAATAACCAAAGATGGTATTCAGATTCTCCTAGGTCCGAAAAAGGATTATTTTATTTTTTTGAATTTCCCCCCCTTCCCACGCTACAGAATTTCGTCAATACTGTCCACATTTCATACGCTACCTAAACCAAACTTTGCAGACATAATTTATATAACAAGTTCGCTCTTCTTCCTTCGTCGAACTGATACAAGAATGGCCGTGATGCTGTCTCCGCATGATCGTGGGCTTAGTAGCGCCAGAAGGGCATTGTTCAGCTGTGTATTCATCCGCAGACAGCAATAATATGGTTAGCTGCAATGGCAGTGACTGCATGAAAAAATGCCAGGAACACTGCGCTACATGTATGGAGCGTAGCAGCGGATGGCGCTGCGAAAGATGCAAGAATTTCCCTAAGGGGATATCGCTTGATGCGCAATATGGCGGCGAATTGGAGACATCAGCGCATAATGGGAGGACACAGACGGTGCAGTGCTCGGCCTATGTATCAGTGAAACACGTTCACGATGCTCGTCCACTTCATCAGTCAGTGCAGCACCTGCAGGCAGAGATACGGTTGTTGGATGAAGGGGAACATATCCTGCAACGACGGCAGATTGTGATCGAGTAGCGAAGGGAGCGTACCAATGTGAGTGAAGTGACTAGCGCACCGGTGGCTGTCGCCGCGCATCCGAGGGCGTCAAGCACACATGCGGTTGTTTTTGGCAACATATGAGCAGACAACAGAACTGTGCGGATTCTCAGATGCTGAGAATCTTATGAGGCTGAGATAGCCCAGCGCGAAACGCAGTGAAAACTCTCATGCTAGATGCGCAATGTTTACCTCAAATAATATCTACTTTGAAAATGAGATTTGGGCGCCCAGAGATTATCATTGAGGTGATGCGGACAAAGTTGAAAGAATTTGGGCCTCTTCGGGATGACAGACTCGATGGAATTGTTGATTTCTCGATTGAGGTGCAGAACGTATGCAGTACTATGAGAGCTACATACGTTATTTGAGTAATCCCGGCTTAGAACAGGAGCTGGTGTCTAAGTTACCGTGCATGCTGCAGACGATGTGGGGAATGCATAAGATGACGCTCAGCGATTCTATATTGGCCGATTTCAGCGATTGGTTGTTTCAGGGAGCAAGTTGTGTGATGATTCCAATCTTGCAAAACAAACTTCAATGGCAAATGTGCATCGGTAGCAGACTGTGTAGCCTTCAGGGAAATGTCTCAAAGAGTGCGCTGGAATACCACGAAGGCATTAAGACTATGCTGGAGGTGTCTTGGGACGCATAGGCGTCTGGATTGCAATGTGAAAGTAGCTTGCGGAGTAGATGGGTGCCAGGGGATGCATCATCAGTTGCTGCATAGAACGGTTACCGTACCGGTCATAGTCAGAGTATCGTTTCAGTCTTCTTCAAAGTTCTGCCAGTCGTCCTCTATGCAAATGGCAACGACGTCAATACGTATGCGTTTATTGACGACGGGTCCTCAGTCACTTTAATGGAAGAGAAGCTACTTCAGGAACTTGGGGTGAGCCACAGCCATTATGCATGCGATGGACAGCCGGCATGCATCGTTACGAGAACGACAGCGCCCATTGCAGATAAGACACGATTGACAGATAAGACAGATAAGACAGTCAAAGGAGGCAGCCCAAAACTGCAGATGACGGAAACGGCGCACACATACCACACTTTCCATGTATGTGACTGCGAGAAGGAACTAAATGAACTACTGAAGCAGCATATCTGGAATGAGCAAAAAGATATCGGATACTCAAAAGCAGATAAGATGACAAGTTGGATCTGGAGCAGTTAGAGAGTAATACAAGGCGCATCGGAGAGAGATTCGAAACGGGATTGTTGTGAAGATACAACAATATTGTGCCTTCAGGCAGCTTTAGCTGGAGGAAACGTTAAGGCGGCAACCACTAATGGCCGTCAAAATGAGAGAAAAGATCAACGAGTACGTAACAAAGGGCTATGCAAAACGTTTGACGCTAGAGGAGGCGCCAAATTGGTTCCTGCCGATTTTCCATTTGTGTAATATAAATAAGTCAGACAAATTACGCATAGTATGGGATGCGGCAGCGAAGAAGGACAACGTGTCACTCAATTCAATGCTATTAAAAGGGCCGGACCAGATGACACAGTTGGTGCCTATTTTACGAAGATTCAGAGAGAAAGCCATAGCAATTGGAGGTGACATTGCGGAGATGTTTCATCAGGTGAGAATGCGTCCTGATAATCAAAAGTTTCAACGATTCCTGTTCATAGATCCTGAAACACAAAATTTGGAGGCGTATGCCATGGAGGCGATGACATTTGGTGCCTCCTGTTCACCGAGCAGCGCCCAGTTTGTGATGAACAAAAATACACGAGAGTTTGAGCGGCAATATCGACGAGCGGTCAAATGTATTTTGGAGAACCACTACGTTGATGATATGTAAGATAGTGTCGACACCGAAACGGAAGCCATCAAGTTGGCGCAAGAAGGTCGATATATCCGCTCTCGTGATTCCATAATTGGGTATCAAACTCATTGAAGGTTCGTTTTGCGCTGGAGCTTACAGAGGATACAACCAAAGAGATATGCTTTAATAACAAAGCAGGAACATTAACGGAAAAGGTACTTGGCATGTGGTGGGACACTCAAGCAGACACGCTTGCTTTTCGGTTGTCGAAGCGGCACCAAAATATCAAGCTGCTAAACGGATGTCAACGCCCTACAAAAAGAGAGTTCCTGAGCATTCTAATGTGCATGTATGATCGTCTGGGGTTCATATCCTTCTATGTGATGCACGCCAGAATAACATTTCAAGAAGTCCGGCGATCAGGTTGCGACTGGGATGCAACAATAGAAGAAGCAGAATGGAAGAAATGGCAGCGTTGGGAACAACAAATACCAGGCGTTGAGACGATGAAAATACCGAGAAGTGGAAATGTATGTTTGTAGATGCGAGTGAAAATGGTTACGCTGCGGTATGCTACATGTTGCAGAGAGGAGCAGAGGGCACGTTATATTGTTTGGTGGGCAGCAAGGCAAAAGTAGCGCCACTAAAACAGATGTCAGTGCCAAGGCTTTAGTTGCAGGCCGCAACAATCGGAGCACGTTACGCACAGGTAATCGCATCAACAAACAACACGAAGTTTACCAGACGGTTATTCTGGGTAGACTCTAGCATGGTGCTATCCTGGCTACGATCGGATCACAGGCGGTACCGCCAGTTCGATGGATTTCGGGTGAGATATTAGATCTAACCGAAATGTCCGAATGGCATTGGGTCCCTAGCAATGAAAAAGTAGCCGATGAAGCCACTAAGTGGCAGAAGACACCCGATTTTTCGAACAGCCGATGGCTGAATGGGCCGACGTTCCTAAGACAGGGTCCACAGGAATGGCCTATGGAATCCGCCATAAAACGATAAACCACAAAAGAAGAACTGCGCGCACAATTTGTTGGAGTGTGCGTGGATGTCGATTTATCGAGTGGAAATGGCCTGACCGACATTACTCGGTTCTCAAGGTGGCGACGATTGATGAGAAGTGTTGCAATGGTAGTATTTGCGGCACGAAAATGGAGATATGCGGCTCTGACAAAAGGCAAACGTACAGAGTCGCTGACACAAGAAGACCAAGAAGCCGCAGAATGCTTATTGTTGGTCTTTGCACAAGATGAATGCTACAGCAGTGAGAAGGCAGTCAAGAAGGGTCACCGTATACATACATAGATCCAGTCCACTATACAAAATGTGTGCGTATATGGACGACAGAGGAGTATTGCGGTTGAAAGGACGAGTAAAGCTGTATGGAGGAACTGATCCTGTAGTGTTGCCAAAAGAAAGCCGTATCACCATGCTGATTGTGTACGATGTACATGCGAGGTTGTAATCACGAGACGGTTGTGAATGAGAAAGCAGTTCTGGGTACCACGCATCAGGGCGGTGGTAAGAAGAGTTCGAAATTCATGCCAGAAATGTAAAAATTAACGTGCCAAGCCCTGGTCACCGCAAATGGCGTGTTTACCGAGTCCGAGGCTGGAGGCTTATCAACCACCATTCACATGCACTGGCGTGGATTATTTTGGACCGCTTCTCGTGACGGTCAAGAGAAACACCGAGAAACGATATTTACATGTCTGACTACGAGAGCAATCCATCTTGAAGTAGCGTATTCACTAACTACAGATTCTTGTATTCTAGCTATTCGCAACTTCACCATGGTCCGCGGACAGCCAAGAAAGCTGTGGAGTAACAATGCTACGAATTTTCAAGGCGCTAATACCGAGCTCCAACAGGCAATTCACTGGGCCAAGAATGAAATGGAAGTTCATACCGCCTGCTTCGCCACATATGGGTGGCGCATGGGAGCGATTGGTACGTTCCGTGAAACGCACGCTATATTCTATACTGTCCAGTAGACGCCCTTCCCATGACATACATACCATTGGATGACGAGAACGAGGAGGCGCTAACGCCTAACCAATGCCTGCTAGGAAGTTCCAATGGGCAGAAGCCAGCAGTTCAAACGGACCCTGAAGGTATACTCATGAAGAAGAACTGGCTTACAGTGCAGCAAATGGCAGATGAATTTTGGCGAAAATGCCTGCGCGAGTATCTACCTGACCTGACCAGACGAAGCAAATGGTATGAGAAGGTCAAGAGGTGGATGATATTGTGTATATTTGCGATCCCGACAGCTCAAGGGCTCACTGGCCGAAAGGAAGAGTAACTGCAGTAAAGCGCAGCACAGACGGGCAAGTACGAAGTGCCACAATAAAAACGACGAACGGCATTTATGTGAGGCCAGCTGCAAAGCTTGCAGTTCTGTCTATTCTTATCGCCAGCCTACGCTTTGAAAGGATACTTGAGTCCAAATTTCAGCTTTTTAGCTTTTACCGTTTGAGTTGTACGTTGATCAACAATCAGTCAGTCAGTACAAACTGTTTTATATATATATAGATATACTTTATAAAATAGCCTGTACTCTCCACAAAAAAGGAAACATTTATTTAATACATACATAGAAGACATTTTTGTGTACAGTTTTAACAGCATACATTTACATCACGTGTCTATGCGTGCTTATATGCTGAACCAAAGCAGCAACAACAACAAAAGCTGCGGGTAGCGCTGCGGTCAGAGCTACAAGCAGAGCATGGGCAGCGATTTTATTTATGGCTATAACTTTCTTCAGAATTGACCTATCAGACGGACACATAAGCACTAACTGGATGTAACTACCAAAATTTATTTCAAGAATTACGGAAGTTATAAAAAACACGAATTAGGGGGGTGGGAGCGGTGTCTCAGAATAAAAAGAATAAATTTGACCTGCCTAGGACTTAGGGGAACCTCGATACCAAGTTTGGTTATTCCAGCTCTTGTACTTCCTGAGATCCTTGCGCTCATACAGACAGACGGACATGGCTATATCGACTTGTCTTGTCATCCTGATCAATAATATATATACTTTGTGGGGTCTGCCACGCCTCCTTCTGTGTGCTACATACATTCGCACAAAACTACATAGTATATCATTTTACCTTTTGCGTACAGACTATAAAAAACAAGAAACAATATAATATAGATTTAGCGAGAACTTTCACTCACCTAAATTTGGTACAGTAACTGTAACTTCATTATTTGAACCAACATCCACAGTAGCCATACGACTCGTGTTCACACTAGCTGGCTTAAAGTCATCTGCAAAATGTATAGAAAATTTTATCATGTCTCATTTTATTTAAAAACAGTTTAAAACAACTCACATTTTATTGTGTGAAATGCCGTCGACTTATTTCTAGAATTAAATGTTTCTCCAAGCCTAAGTTCGCGTACTTCATCACCAATATTCAGACGATGCGCCAAAGAAGACGAATTTTGCTTAGTTTCCATCATTGTCTAGCATTTACTACTGAAATGTGCATTTACAAATATTATATAAGGTAAAACAAGATGATAAGAGTTAACCTAACCCTTAAATACCATATACCCACTTCAAAAAAAAAAAAAAAAAAATCAAGTGGAGAAGCTAAAGTTGGGTGTCCCGATTTTGAAATATTCTGTACATAATGCATATCTATGCTTATGTCTGTGTATGTTCGTGTCCCTGTTCAAAGCAGTAACAACAACAACAGCTGCGGGCAGATCTTTGGCAGAGAGTATATTTATGGCTATAACGTTCTTCATAATTAACATATCGTAATGAAACTTGGCATACGGACTCATAATCACTAACTTGAGGTATTAGCCAAATCTGAGAACCAAATTCCAAAAATTATGAAAAAAACACGAATTGCGGGGGAGAGGCTGGGGATATCAGAAAAAATAAACAAACTTGATCTGCTTAGGGCTCAGGAGTACCTGAATACCAAGTTTGGGTATTCTAGCTCTTGTACGGTCGAAAGGACGGACGGGCATGTCTATATCGACTCAGCTTGGCACCCTGATCAATAGTATATATACTTTGTGGGGTCTGCCACGCCTCCTTCTGCCTATTCATACATTCGCACAAAACTAGTATACCCTTTCACCTTTTGTTAACAGGGTATAAAAATCACCGGTAAACTTCTGAGTAAATTTTACTGAAAATCGAGCAACGACAAACGAACTATGTCTACTTTGCCGAAAAAAACCTTAAGCTTGTACTGTTCAGACCTGTTACAGATAGACGCCGAGGCTATCTGGCGACATGTGCGATTGCCACATGAGGCGATCCTTTGTTTGTTTAGGTGATCCTTTGTGCGGCTGCACACAGGCCACGTAGGCAACGGAAAAAACTCTTAAAAACTCAGCGGCAGTATAAATAGAATTAAGACAATGCTGAGTCCTATAAACTCAGCGATATCATAAGTAAATGTAAGATAACGCCGCGCCTTACTCATTAAAAATATGCAGCTAGCAATAGCTGAGTGTGAGAATATTCTACATCTTAAAAGTATACGCACGAGTTTTAGTGTAAACATTTTTTGGTCCTTCGAGCCGGATGCAAGGTTACCAAAGCGAGCGTTTCTGTGGCTTTAAACAACAGAAAGCAAAGTTTTCTGTGAAGCTTAATGACAGAATATTTGAGGAAACAACTGCCATCATCCGGTCATACTTCGATTCGGAGATGAAGGTCGAAGTTTCCGACCAAACCAAAAGCGACGATCAACCGATGCCGCTGGAAAAAACACACAGATGGGAAGTGCTGAACGTCAAACCAGGTACATCTAAAGGACTAGATGATCATCAGGCAAGTGCACCACAACGAAGTCCAAGTCCAGTCGACAGCATGGAAGACCTTGTGGAAAAGAGCACAAAAGATAAGGGAATACATAAAAAAAGTGTATGCCTGCCTGGACCAGCACGATCTGGAAGAGATCCTTGACCACAAATTACAAATGATGTTCCTGTGGTCAAAAGTTCAATCAACGCTCACTCAACTGGATGCAAAATATGAGAAATTTGCCTTTGACGTCGACGAGATCGATGATCTAGGATACAAAGTCCACGTACTATCTGACAAGATTGATAGAACAATAAGTGACTTGCAAAACAAAAAAGACGAAACGCCCGAGCTACCTAAAGCGGAACTTCCTCATTTAATGGAGATCCCAAAGAGTGGCCAACGTTTTTTTTTAATTTCTGCGAGGTCATACACTCGAGAAAAGATATCAGCGATGTTAAAAAACTGAACTATTTGCCTCAAAGGAGAAGCTAAAATGGTCGCCGGACATTTATTGAATGGATCGGCGGCTAACTACAAGGCGGCATGGGAGCTGATATGCAAGCGTTATGAAAACCAGCGCAAAATATTTTCCGACCGCTTTAACCAGGTAATGGACTTGGAATTGCTGAAGAACAATGATGAAGGCAATATCAGAAGGTCCTTGGGCACAGCAAGAGAGAACATATACATAATAAAAGAAAAAATTTGTCAAGATTCTGATATTAATGTTCGGTCGGAACCCAGCAGCATCGATGTAATTATTGGAGTTGATCTGCTTCCATCAATCATGATGGAGAGAATTAAAAAAGTCAAAAAACTAAGTTGGGATGGATTATGTCCGGCAGCATATCCAGAGCGTTTACCAATAAAGTCATCAGCACAGCAATAAAGAAGAAAAAAGCAAGAAAAATATTTGTTAAAAGAAGACAGAAAGAGATGAAATGCTCTTGTTGTATTTGTGTGCTTGGCCGGACCAAGCCAAGACAACAAAAGCAATCAGTAGCCTTCCTACGATCCGGAATGTAGCATGTACCGTTAAAATACCTACAGGTAATACAAACAGGTTAAGCATTCAACATGCGGAACATCAAACCGCAATAATTATGCGAAAAAGAAGAGGAATCAGGGGCAGGAGCTACTAGCTGTCGTCTTCCCTGGGAACGTATCGTCGCGGACTTGCTACAGAAAGACGCCGCGGCTATCTGGTGACATGTGCGATTGCCACATGCGGCGATAACGCTGCGCCTTACATACGCAGCAAAGCATTAGGGGTTGAAAAGAACTCAATAAAAGTATGCAGCCAGCAATAGCTGCGTGTCAGAATATTCTACATCTTAAAAGCGTACGCACGCGTTTTAGTGAAAACACGTACTTGCTAGGACTTAGGAGAATCTGGACACCAAGTTTGGTTATTCTACTTATACTTTTTGAGATCCTTGCGTTCATACAGATAGAAATAGAATAGCGTTTTGCCCTTTGAGTGCAGGCTATAAAAAGTGGCGGGAAATCCTATACGACTATGCTTATAGAGCAGAAGGTCATGGTTCGCAGAGTCAAATACTTTACTGAAGTCAGTGTAAATGACATCATTCTGCATTTTTAGAATAAATGCACAAGGCAGTATCAGGGCAATTCAAGCACATTGCCACCCTTTTTTTTTAAAAAAAAAGGAATCATAAAAGACTCTCTCCATATATTAAAGAATCAAGCGACAGGTTAAAGAGTTTAAGCAATGGTTGTAAAAGGGAACTAGAACACTCCTTGAGTACACAACTAGAAATATTGTCTACCCCAGGAGAGTATTAGGATTTTAAAGACGTCATAGCTGAAAGTAGGCAACTATCAGTAATAACGGGAGCGTATATAAATAGAGTTCCCACTCTTCCCAGATAAAAAATTATAAGGAGCTATTAATAAAAGAAATAGGGGAATATGTTGATTAAAAGAAGTTTGCAAACAATTCAGCAGCTTCAGAATCATTGCTGGTTTTTATGTCACCAAGAAAAAATATTGAAGGAAGGGAAGAAGTTTTACGTTTTGAGTTACCGAAATTATAGAATTGATTAGGGTCCTGTGCGAATTGTAACTTGCAACGGGCAAGATAATTGTTATAACATTAAAAATTAAGAATATGAAAATTTGATTTGGCTAGATTCTCCAGAAAAATCAAAAGTTCAGCGCGACTGCTTATACTTTTTAAAGCATTTATTTTGTATTTAATATTTTTAAAGTTTGATAGTCTAGTGCAGCGATGGGTACGTAGTGGCTCTTTGGGCTCTCAGGGCTCTTTCCGTTATGTTTTGGTAACTGGCGACAGCCAGACGCACAAGCAAAGTACCGATCTCGAGCAAACTTACAATAACAAAATACACGCAGTGTTGTCGCCAGCCAGACGCACAAGTAGAAGACCGAACTTACAAACCTATCGCGACAGAGTTTACAATAACAAAATACATGCAGTGTTGTCGCCAGCCAGACGCACAAGTAGATCGATGCAATAACAAAATACACAGTGTGTGTACTGATGATCGATGTGCAATACCCGCTGACGGTCACTTATGCACTGACATTCAAAGTGTATTGACAAATTATAAATTGAAAAAAATTTGAAAAACGATTCAACGATTTCGATGAAGTTAAAAAGTTGATAAAAATATATTTGAGTCCAAAAGATATAAATATAAAAGAACAAGACTCAAAATATCAAATGGAGCTATGTGACTTACAATCCGACTACCAAATACTTTCAGTTAAGGAATTTGGAAGTGAATTTTGGAAAAAAGTGTGTGGCAAACAGTATCCATTATTAACATCTTCAATGCTTCAATTAGAAGCAAGTTTTGCCAGCACTTATGTGTGCAAAGCTGCATTTTCAAACATTAAATATATTAAAAATGTTTATAGGAATAAATTAAGTGACATAAATTTATCAGATTTATTACGAATTGCTTTAAGTGAAGAGGAAATAGACTTCGAAAAATTATTAAACGAATGTTCATAAATGTGATCAAAATTTTTTTCGGTGTACTTTTTTTTCCTAATTTTTTGCTCGCAGTTTATGATGTTCTCATAACCCAAACGGTAGTTTTTGTTGTAGATGTTGTTGTAGGACTCCCAAACTAAAATTTCGTGCCCACCGCTGGTCTAGTGAAAACCCCGGAGGTTTTGATGGAGCAGACGTTATGACACCATTAATGATACAGACATAAAAAGATAATTAATAGGGTCATAGTAAAACTTGACGGCTATATTGATCAACCGCGTTATACAAAAAGGGCCAATTAGTTGCTAAAATAAGTTCCTTAAGCAAAGAAAAATGTTATATTGCGAAGTGTTTATTTCAGAGTTGATAGTACTTTCCAGCAATAAAAGTTGTCCAACACAACGAGTTGGAATTGCTCCCCAGATCATAATTTGCACATATTGATCACTGAATCTTTCATTGACTCTACGACGAACCATGACTCCCGAGTCTCGACCAATTAAGTTGATTTTGCTTTCGTCAAGAATATCATGTTAGCCCAACCATCGGCTGACCAATTTATCCTCTATTTACACCAATTTAGTCTGTTGCAACGAATTTTTGCTCTAGGAAAGGGTATGCATGTCTATTCGTGTCTGTGTGAACATGTTTGCAATCAACCAAAGCACCAGCACAGTTTCTGCGTATTCACATAAGGCATCTGGGACTAAAATTGTGTGCT